ATCACATAAGAACCGACCGACCCGGCGAATGCGTAGGGCTCGATTGCACGCTGGAAGCGTACTGGAGCTACTAGTATAGCCACAGTCGAAGGTGTTAACACTGGCCGTAGACTTCACCGAAGCATCACAACAGACGCTTCCGGAACCATCACCGCAACAGTCACGGTAGGAGACTCTGGTGTGGTAGATGTGGGACGCTGCTACGCCTTCGGAATCCACCGCCTCCTCAACGACGAATCTACCACGCCTCTGGACGCCACCGATACGTAGCGGGACCGATTCGGCCATGAAAGGAGACCCGGAGAGGACCCCGTTAAGAGATTATCCAACAACACCTGCACATGCGATTAAACCAAGTGGAATGCTCGGCGACTGACAAGAGTCGATCTCGCTGCGATCATTTCATGGCGAACCACTTTGCGCTCGCCCGGACGAACTTGAAACGCGCACAGGATTTTCCAGTTCGCTGTCTCTCAAGGAACGCGCTCAATCACAGATAACAATTTACATTTAGGCAGATGGACTCTATTGAACTACCAAACTCGAAGCACGTGGGTCTAGGGACAAGCTAGACTTGTCCAGGGAGAGCCGGATTTGACGATAGCACTCGCGAGATTGATGTTGTTGGATATCCATGATACCAAGGATGTCGCGTCTGCATGAAAGATGGGATAATTATAATTTTCAAGCAAGCTCGCTCTTGAGCTCGCTGAAGAGGGGATAACTTGAGCAGGATAACAGCTAAATCTCGACTAACAAAACAGGACACAACAGCACTCCGGTCTGCGAGCCATTCTCGATCCGTGCGCACGTACGTGATGGAATTCGGCACGCGTACGCTGTGTAATGATCGTCCCTTCTCTTTCGAAATTAACTTGGGTCCCAAGTAAATTGCACCCTAGTGCCTCGAAGGCACAAGGGTGCATCAGTGCAACCATGCAATGGGACGGTTTCAGACGCCAACAAGACATCGTGATGTAGTCACTGTGTTCGGCGCAATATGCGGCGTGTGTAATATGCAGCATCGAACTCTTAATGAATCTCCTTAGGGCGCGCAGCCTTAGCTTTAAGCGGAGATCCCGTAGATATTGCGTTACATTCTAAGCAAGTTGCAAAGGGCATAAGTGGAGCGGTTCTCAGAAAACTTAAACTCTTAGATTAATTTGACCCACTTTCGCGTTCGCGGTCAACCGGGCGTGCGAGAATGCTTACTGGGCGTGCGCTAAAACGATTGAGCATCTTCGACGAGAGACCAAAACGAGACAACCACTGACCGTGTCTGAAACTTGTTGGCCGAGAGCTTTCTCGTTGATCCTGGAATGAACCCGAGGATCAACAGAGTGATAGTAGATATTCACCGCGCCACCACTGTGGTGCTCCCAGAGTCTCTTAGGTCCACTCGGGTCTCAACAAGTCCATCAAATCTTCAGTCCGAACTAGCGTTTCCGTTTGGTCGTTGGGCATGTCCCAGCTCGTCCCGACGGTGTTCACCGAGTCAACGACATGGACTCGGGACTCCCACGATCTGTTCGATTACGAAAGTCAACATGTCGTTCGCAGAGACTTCGCTTTAAACCAAACGGTCAGATTCGTGCGGAGCAATGGTAGGCTATATGCCATCAACAGAATTACTCGTTGGTTTCAACGTAGATGACGTTCGTATGGAAGATGCCTCAGTGGAGGCACTCAGTCGCCCTAGGGAGGAGTCGGACTACCTCATGAAATGTATCAATTTCGACTCAAGGTAGCTCATGAGTCGTATAAATGATATGAGCGAACTTGTTTCCCATGAGGTTTATGATTCAACCAGCGGATAAGCAGTCCGATGGGAGCCGACTGATTCCCAAAAGACTATGGCTTGTCGTGAAAGAGGTGCGAGTCAAACTCGACGAATTTGCAACTACTATCATCTGAGCTCAGTTCGGACCCCACACCCTCACCGAAGGAGACATTATCAAACTTGGTCGATTCAAATTGCGTGTTCGGCAGCTATGTGCAGATTCCGAAGATCAACTGGTGACATCTAAGCCTTGTTTGATACATTGGGTCAGCACAGCTCAGGTGCGACCAGACTTGAGCGGCTCTGAAACTGCGACCGCGGCAGCGCGCTGTGCCCCTCCTGAGGCCGATGGTATGCCCTGTAGGATATGTTTACTGGAAGTAACACGTGAGCAATTCAGTGAGAGTGCGTTACTCTATGTATAAGGCCTCCGGTTCCGATGAGGACGATCCATTGATCGAAGCGTGTGCTTGTCGAGGGAGCATTCGTTATGTCCATCTCGGCTGCTTGCGTCACTGGATTCAGGGCAGACTGTGCCTCGGGGGAAACGATGGGCTCAATGCCCCCCACACGTACGAGCTGTGTTGTCTCTCGCCGTGAGTGCCGACATAGATATCTGTTCCGCCAACTAGCATGTGAGCTCTGCCGGGTCAACTACCAAACGAATGTTATACTTCATGATGGGACCACATCGCAGCTCGTGAGTTGCCCATTCTCGAGACAGCGCGCAGTTGGATTCACTCAGGTGCCCTTGCCTGAGACCAAAGCCCCTTATCTGGTCCTGGAAAATATGGTGCGAATTGATCCTACGCAAGGTAGCAACCTTGAAGGTCAGATATCGAGAATTGCAATTCAGGTATGGATGCCCAGTCATCTATGCACTCAAAAGGCGTCTACGTCATCTCCCTTGCTGGTAGGAAGGCGTTGAAGCTGGGCCGAGGCCACGAGAGTGATGTACGAATAGCCGACGTAGTGCAAAACCATCTCGAGGGAAGAGTCCAGCACAGTTACGGTGCAGGTTTCTATATCGCGGTGGCATGCAACGGTGTCGTTCGCGGACGATGGACGGTTCATTCTGGAAGACCATAATTCGAAGTTCGGGACGCTGGTGGCGATGCGACGGCCGAAATTGATCAACGCCTCGACAGGTCCGTCAGCATGGAGAACCCTTTCTGGTTTCGAGTTTGCCTTGGCTCGTTATTGATATACGACGCTGTACAGCCATATAGGGGCTGACCGAACACTGCTATCTGCTCCTCGAACAAACACGTTGTTTTAGATGACGATGTGGCTGGTGCGGCTTGTCCGATATTGACGGTTCAAGCCGGGAGAACAGTTTTCAGGATCAGCACGAGGAAGCCCAGGTGGGTTCATGATAGACTAAGACTGATGTGTGATCTGGTCGTGGGTAGAAGAGTTGAGTCGTCAGATGAGAAGACAATACCGGCAGAAGGGAACGTGGCTCCAGGCCTAGCCGAGCAACATGTGCTGGCGGCTCAGTCACTATAGCAACAGATCTTGGTCGTTGTGGAGACAGCGAGATTGGGATTCATTTCTGCCGTTGTTGACTCTACTCTGTGAGCTACCCTTCATCGAATTGATTATAATACGGCTACACGATTCGGCTTAGCTCTCTTGAGTAGCCTTCCCTGATTACACCGATGTACACTTGTTCTCTCGAGTAGTTAGTACTCAGATAGTTACCCAACTAGTGTGACGTGTTAGACCATCTCAATATCGATGGTGGTGGTGGTGGTAATCATATTTTTGTCATCCCAAGAGCTCGTCTTGAGTTGATCGGGTCTGTCTACGAGACCTATGTTCTCCCCAGTTCCTCATCGTACACCCATTTCTTATGATCGGCGGCCACTGCCTCGGATGTCTGACGTACCGGGCGGCATTCACGATGGCACTAACGGTGGCTATGACGTATTGGGGTTGCCATGTCGGACTAGTATACTTCCTTTACAATGACATGGTAAGGGCCTCCTCGAGGTAGCCTGCTAGGTCCAATTTTGCTCATTTCGTCAGGCATACGTCGATTGGTTTAGGAAGTGGCTGATTGCACCAATAGTATACCTGGCGTGGTCGGCTATGCTACTGAATTTCCTGCTAGCAGTACTCGTCCTCACTCTGAACGAAACAGGGCGGCGGTATGCGCTATCAGCATGGATAGGAGTAGTGTCGGTCTCAATAGTTATGTAGGTGATTCACTCCGTTAGTGATTCACACTCCCTTATTTTCTATTGTTCTCAGATGGCTTGGTTACGCAGCGTTTGCGTGCCAGAAGCTCAAGGGGAATGCGTTTCTGCTGTTGCCAGGAGTAACAACAGTCATTGTGTGTGCGTCAGTGACCTCTTGTCGGTTACTCGGTCAGACCCAGATCGTGAAAGCCGCCGCGACTTCGGGAAAATACTCGACCGCTAAGATGCTTGGATCGACAGCAGCTGCGATGCTGTTGAATCCGGGGTCGGCTGAGCACGTATACGAGATGTTACCTACTCCGATGAATCTATGTTTCTGGTGGGGAATAAGACTGTAGGTTGCCTCCGTTGAAATACTAGTGCAATTTTTCCGGTGGTAGAGAGTACCCCGCGCTGGCGTTCGGCCTGGGGTCCTTCGCCGTTCTAGTCTGCCAGCTGATCACCGGTATGGTACTCCAGCCGGTTTTGAAAGCTGGGGGTAACGGAGCCGAGGGTGTCACAGCGGACAAAATTCAGCTCTGGTACTCGCCTTCGTGATGAAAAAAATGACTCCAAGATTCGTGTTATATTCCAGGTATGCGCTAGCGCCGAAGAATCGGCGAATATTATATCAAAAAGAACTAGCGGACATCGAGGTGTCAGAGATTGAACGGCTGATGGACATTTCTGAATCTGAGGGTGAGATAGACTCACCCTTGGAGAGCATAGAAGAGGGGAAGCTGGACGAACGCGTTCAGAATGATGAATCTACACATTAGTACAAGTACTCGCTAATATTCACCACTGGTATATTACCAGAAATCATGTTGTTCAAAAATGCCAAAATCATGTGCCGAGATAAACTGTTGTGTTGTGAGTTCACCCGTCGAATTTATCGGCTACAGAGTTCTCAAAACTCGAAGTGTTCACCTGTCTGATGAATTGTCGATGGGTCGGACCTTCATCAAGATATGCGGTGCGTATCTTTTGGTATCCTGAGGTTGACCACGTAAGATACAGAAGAGGTCCAGTAGAAGCAAACTCGATCACGTCCACAAACTAAGAGTACATTTACAGGTTGATCAGTTCATCATGAATATAAGGGGATTACTATCGCATGCTCACATTTCATCACAGAAACTCTATCGATCTCCAAACGCCCCACACACGTCTCCGTTGCGATGACTGTACTGATCACCCGTTGGGCTGCTGTTCGACACCACAGATTCTGTTGACATTGACTTATAACACTAGCCAGAGCGTTACTATTTGGAGGAGTAGGAATGAATACAACAGCAATTATACAACCTCCTACTAGCCATAGCTAGGAGGGACAGACTGGGCAGACGGATTCCACAGCACACAACTATTGGACGATAGAGTGATCAGTACTGCCATAACTCGACAAGGATACTCATCCAGAAATAACATACAGACGAATCACAGGTGTAGAAATAAAAGTACAGTAAAAGGCATATGCGAAACACAACAGCCGTTTGTTTGTGACTTGCGCAGAGCCCTCGTCAATGCGATATTATCTCCCCCACGTTGCCCGGCTGCCGCGATCCGAAGGTAGCGAGCTCATCAGCACGCTTGTTATTGCATCGTAAGGTGTGAATCCAAGTCACTTGCATGCGGTCCATCAACCCGTGTATCGCCTGCTCAGCACGCTCCTTCAGCTGTCGGAGTTCCTCCTTATTGACCTTCCATTGCGAGGGGCCCATCTGACTTATCACCAGCTTGCTGTCGCCTTGAATAGTCAAGTTTGCAGGTTCTTCAATCAGTTCGTTAATTTTATCAAGGCCCATACAAAGAGCCTCGTACTCAGCCTCGTTATTAGTCCTCCCAGGCCCGAGCTTCAACGACCAAGCAGCTATCTCATCGAACCGTCCGTTCCCATCCTTCCTGTACAACACAGCACCACTGCCAGCACTCGACTGTCCGCCTTGTGATCCACCATCAAAGGTTAACATCAAATTTGGCAAGTTTGAGGGTGTAGATTGAATGCTGTTGTTCGCCACCTCAGGAACGCTACGAGTCGAAGCCTGAGAGCCAACGCCATCTTGGTATCGTGGTCGCTTCTGTACAGGCTCCAAAAACTGGGCAGCAGAGAGGTAGTTGCTCCTCAGACGCTTAGCTTGAGGACCCTAGAACCGAAAAGGACTTTCCTCCTCAGAACTCGACCGCGCCTACCATGAAGTTCAGACAGTTACATGTCCGATCGAGCTCCATGACAGCATCGAACTGGACACTTTGCCGAATCCACAGAGTATTCTCGTAGACCTCCGTCCATTTCCAGTCTCCCTCGCCAATCTCAACAAGAACGTCGTCCACCTCAGCCGTACTCGATACGCCCTCGACAGGCAAGGCTTCCAGCAGACTTGGTTTCTCGCCCGAAACAGCTGTTGTTTCCACCAGGTTTATCTCCTCATTAACGTCACCAGAAAGCTTCGCAGCGATCGCCGGGCCATCCCTCCCATCCACAACAACTTTTCCCGATTTAGGATAGTAGTTCACACCTCCGTTGTGTTTCCTCAAGCGAACGTGAAGCTGATTGCCGCCATTTTTCTCAACGAAGTTACCTGACCAGCCGATCGGCAACATAACGCGATAAACTTCAGCTCACTTTCCTCGATGTCCTCACCGAGTAGTTTCCTCAGCATCTCAATGAGCTCCCGCAGAGTTGTGCACGTCCGCGTCAAAGCCTTCGGCGGCGGCATCAGATGAGAGCAGTAAACACGATACGACGATGAGATCTCGATCGTTCCCCCCAACAGTAGTGACACTTGAAACTCGACATCCGGGGTTGGAAAAAGGCTCCAAAACGAATAAGCTTTTCCAGTGCTGAGAAGTGGGGGTAAACTACAAAACCCAAGGAAGAACGACAAAATCCAAGCAGGTTTGTCGCTCGCTCTCAGCAGTTCGGGTTTCTGGTCGCCTTGTCGGGTTTCGGGTTTACCCTTCAACCTGTCTTCCTTGGATTTTGTATACCACCCCTTGGAGTGGGTAAGGGGCAAACTTCCGTGTCACGCGCCTCGAAATTACGCGCTCGCCCAAGGAAGTATCTTCGGCGAGACTTATCTACGCATCTTTGGGAGAGACTTGATTTGTAGTTTCCAAACCCAATGGACACATGCTGGGTAAGTGAGATCGATCCCTTGGGCATGTCATTCTCCTAGGACCGCACTACCTGACTAGGGTGAAGTCGTTGGTGGGAGGAACTCCTTGTAGTGGATGCTTAGATCAATGCTTCTCTTCGGGGTTTAGGATGTGAACATGCATTCCTCTGCAGTTGAGTAAGAACTATATGCTCACATTAGTAACCGGGATCGCTGGTTGTATTTTTACAACTGCTCAACTGCCCCTCGGGCTCCTCCGCCGCAAGCTACGCCGAGATCACCGCAAGTACCTCGCGACAGCAACAGCTGCAGTTCTCGTTGAGTTTTGGGTAAGTCTTCAGGACGGACTCCTGTTATCGCATTCGGAAGCTATCGATTGTGTTTTGTATAGGTGACGAAGAAACACGGTGTTGTGGCCGGTCTGGTCGCAGGAGCATTCCACTTTGTTGGAAGTCGCCTGGTCATCCCTGCCGTCACTGGCGGGATAGGCTCCGGCAAGTCCACAGCAGTAGCCTGTTTGGAAGCGAAATACAATGTCCAGTGAGAATCACAACGACTGTTACGTACGGGTTGCTGCTTTTCATTTCAGAGTTATTGACGCTGATAAAATCGCCAGGGAAATCATGGAGCCTGGGCGACCCGCATTCAAGGAAGTAGTTGCTTCCTTCGGAGAGGGAATAGTCACTTCTCAAGGCCAAATCAATAGACAAAAATTGGGCGAACTTGTAAGCCGTCGAGACGATGAAATCACCATAGCGGTTGCCTTTCACATGCATTTGCAATTTATCCACACCTTTTCAACATTAAAATTCTTAATAGGGGTACCTTGGAGCACGAACTCGCTCGCCTGGTGAAATTGAAGTTTTTAATGTTGAAAAGGTATAATGTGATGTAGCTGCTTCCTCGCGTACCCGTCCATGTGCAGGTATTCGGCGATGCGGAAGCTCGAGCCTTACTGGAGAGAATAACTCACAAGTATATAACTATGACTATGCTGTGGCGACTCTTCTCGTATCGTGTGCTTCCCCCTTACAACAAGCCCCCGATAGTCCTGGACGTGCCTCTGCTCCTCGAGACGCCCGGCTTGTCGTGGGTTTGTGATCCCGTTGTTGTCGTCTACGTTGACCCTCAAACGCAGCTCGATCGTCTCGTGAAGCGATGCCCAACCGAGAGTGTTACAAACTTGACAAACAGGGTCAAGTCGCAGATGAGTCTCGAGGACAAAATGGCTCTTGCCGACAGAGTGATCGATAATCGTGGCGACTTGAAGAGCTTGGAGAAGCAAGTTGACGCTTTTTATGAGGAAGAAATCAAGAATATGTGAGGGGCTTGCCAATTCGTGTAATATTTAGAGCTGACGAAATTCGCGGTGTTACGGGCGACCCACGTTAGAAATTTTTTACCAGTTGCATTTCATTGTTTGTGGTTGTCAATGTATTTGGGGGTAGAATTAGATGAAAGTTTCCGCGTAGTTAGTTGATCAAGTACCCTCGATAATGCCGTCGAGTTCCGCAAATGACGTGAAGAAGACTGCGCCTTGCATACCATCGATTCCCCAACCAATGGATCGCTTCAGCGAAGTGGCACAGACCGTGGCCTCGCTGCCGGCCATTTTCCGCTTCCATCACAAGGCATATGATTCTGTTTTCGACGACCCTTATACTCCCAAGAACTTTGAGTTGGAACCCCCGCGCCGCCCTCAGGGTTGGAGTATGGAGGAGTGGCAGATCGCGAAGGAGACTGTCGCGCTGGGAATTACTTCGACCATTATTATAGTAGTTGATCGGCCGTCAGATTTCAGCAGGTGATAGAGCGTCGTCGCCCTCACGTTCCTAATTAATATGTTTATGAATTCTCTCTAGTCATATCGTGCGATCGTTACGTCCTCAGAAGGCTAGAGTGCTTGCTTTATTATATTGCTTATCGTTGGAGTTTCATCCGTTTTACGTGAAGTGGCGTAAAACTCTGTGAAAAACGCGATATTCGCGCTACGCAGTGGTCAGGAAATGTGTTTTTCACTAGTGTTTTTCGCACCACGGGTGAAACTCCACTGATTGTCAAGACAAATGATCTATGATGAATGCATTATTATTATTTCGTTATCCCCGTAGAGAGGCCCGTGCCAGTGATAATTTTGTCTATATATCATCTCTGGTGGTTATTCTCTTTCACTGCCGTTTACTGCTGTCATCGGAATAATATGTATCAATCTGCAAACGACTGAGATGCATGTTAACCCGACTTATACGGTGTTGTCTTGAGTCGTCATAATGGGTACGATCGCTCAGTTGCTGCTCCATATGGAATTTGAAATCCGGAACGCTGTGTCGTGCATGTTCGCGAAGTATCTGCTAGACCTCACACTGCTAGCCCTATGCATACACGTGCAGCAAGATGATGAGGTTCTAAAGTACGAAGTAACTCGTCATGCACACCGACGAGTATTTTCAGAGGATATCGAATCGGCCTCTATGCGTTTTTTGGCTTCGTCTCTGGTTTTGGCAATCTCGGAGTTTTCCATCTGATGCGATCTCCTGTGGCTCTTGCGACTTCAGAGTGGATCAAGCATCTCCGTGCGGGTCTGATATTTCTGCCAATAGTGGTAAGGAATTTTCACTAAGGCCTTTGCACATACACCTTGTGAATGGTCTCTGAAGCGTTCGTACTTTCGCAGCCGATGATAACGTTGCTGACCTTCTCGAGACTCGAGGAGTATTCTGGCGAGGCCGTTGATGTGTTCATACCCACGACGACTGGCTCCGCCCTTCTCTTCATGGTGCTTCACGTACTCTATTACGTAATACCCCCGCAATCGTTTGGATAGGTCTCAGCTTCCCCCTGCCAGATGGTGTGGTTCTTGAGGCGTCGCGATGAGATAGATCTCATCGGAGCAGACGAATTGGGTATATTTGCAGACTTATTGCGGCAACAACGACGTCTACCGCCTCGGCAGAAAACGTCCGAGGAGTTGGACAGAATACTCGACGCAAACACCCTGTGTTGGTCTCGCGAACAGCTCGACAGTCCTCATCCCGTCCTCATGGGGCATCAGCGTATGATGTCCTCGTGCCCGATCTGTTTGGAGTCCTTCGTAGAAGTAGAGGCGGATGGAGAGAGTAGCTGCGGAGAGGTCAGCCTCATCACATTATGCAAGCATCTGGTACATCGTGATTGCCTCAAGGTGAGCCTCATTGACCTGCTACCTGTAGGGCCTGGCTGATCAGGACTGGTTCAGAACCAAGAATTTAACACAGTGCCCTGTCTGCAAGCAGGAACTGGCTGATGCCCCTGCAGCTCCTATTGAAAGCTGATAATCGTACATGGGCCCTCAGAACACAGTCTCGGATGTTGACTTGCGATGAATTGTGTTGGCCAAATAGGCCGTATATGGGAATATTTCGTGGCCGATTCGCTAGCGATAAACCCTAGGTGTCCGAGATGCAACAACTACATCCTCTACATGGAAGCTATCAGCTGATATTCACATGCGATACACACTCCGAATACTATACGATTACCTCATGCGAAAAAATACTGCATAAATCAACATCAAACCCACAGAATACACAACCGATTTCATATGAACACAAAATAGACAGTTCTTAATTTCGACCAGCTACCAAATGTCCGCTGGAATCAATCATTTACGTCAACTCATTCAACATAATTTTCACCCCCTCTAAGCACAATCAAAACTACGAAAACTCCGCCCTGCACGTGCTATCCCGAGCTTACAAGGTTATAAAGATTTCGATAAAGCCAATAGCCCCACTCGCCCAACCCGACTAACAACACAACATGTTACAGTCAATTCTTCCCAGCCAATATCCCTAGCACCGTTACAAGAGCCTCGAAGTATGCCGACAGAAACTATGCTGTTGCGATGACGAGAGTACAACGCTTACAGCTGGATCTTGGCCTCCTCCGACTCGGGAATGACGTTACGGTCAACAGCAGTTCCCTCCTCAGCAGACTCGGTGTGGAGCTCCATCAAACGAGTGAGGTCGAACTTCGGCTTCTTGAGGATCTTAACCTTACGGATATAGCAATCCTTAAGAGGGTAGATGGAACGAGTCTGCTTCTCGATCTCGGCACCGATGGACTCGGTGACGAAACGCTTGACGAGGTCGCTCATGCGGCACTTGGAAGCCTCAGCGGTCATGATGTCAACCATCCTGAAGAGGAAAAAAGTGAAAAAATAAATAATAACTCTGAGGCCTCTCTGGAGACGACTGAAAGCCCCGAATTACTTTCTGCGGATCCTGCGGATCTGAGCAGCGCTGGCATAGCAGTTGGCCTTGACAGACTCCGGGCGCTTCTTGGTGAAGCCGATGGAGAAGAGACGGAGAATGTACCCATCAGTAGTCTTCACGTCAACGTGGGCCTCGATCAAAGTCTGCCACTTGCGGATGAGCGAGCAGAGCTTGTCACGGGTGAAGTCCATGCCGTGGAAGTCGGTGAGGGCGTTGCGGCCTTGGACCTCCTGGACCTCCAGCTTGATCTTACGGAAGGAGTGGTCCTCGTTGGAGTTCAAGTCGGCAAGGTTGACCTCGCAGACGCGGCCCTTGAGGGCATCAGAGGCAATCTGACATCAAAACGATCAACATCATCAACACTTAAGCGAAATAATAAAGTGGATTGTAAAAAAACAAGACTTATTACCTTGGTACCGGTGGTCTTGGTGACCAAAGTCTTGCCGGCCTCGCGGACGGAGAACATAGTAGGAGCCTTCACTGAGTACCACTCCTTCTTGAGGAAGGGATCACCCCTACAATAAGGAAGATAGTAAGTCAATCAACGAAATGCTATTAATATTCATTGAGAACAATCACGACCGAGCATTACAGTTCGTCGACAACAACTAGTACTATTCATTATTACACCTTCTTCTTGCCTCCCTTCTTTCCCTTAGTGAGTCTCTTGTTCTTGCCAACGGCCATGGTGCTGGTGTACGGGGTGGCTACACTTGGTCGGCGCGAACTCTTGATCGATCACGTGATCGATTTTAATAGAGCGCGGGCGGAGCGAAGGCGCATTTTCTCGCCTCTTCACCGAATCCAAACCAGTGTTCTCTTCAGCTCAGTCCAGGAGTCTCCTTACTACATATAAGATTTGATATACAAATTCGGGTAGAAGTGTACAGCAGCAACCAATGAGACTTTTCTAATATTTCCTCAAAATTTGTCATACGGGCGTTAACACACGTAGTTGACCATGTACATATTTTCCCACACCACCCCAGATCAACT